CTAAAAATATACCATCTACGACCGGTAATCTAACCTTTAAAATGTGGTAACAATTGTATTCAACGTTAAAGCGCATTTAGAGTATCGTTTACGGAGGTAACTAGGCATAATATGGAGCTCTTAAAACAAAAGTTATTATGCCTTTATCGTTTAGGTGTGCATGATATCGTTGTTAAGTAACAAGCGGTTAACCCTTATCCAAAATTAATTCATTTAACGTTAATGCGCATTTAGAGTATCGTTTACGGTGGTAACTAGGCATAATATGGAGCTCTTAAAACAAAATTTGTTATGCCTTGATCGTAAGTGTACATGATATCGTTGTTAAGTAACAAGCGGTTAACCCTTATCTAAAATTAATTCATACTAATCTGCTATTTGCATTTTGTTGTCAGTACTAAGGAGAATTTAATAAAATCACACTGGCCTAAACGTCTTTTAAAATCGGAATAAAAAAAAGCAACTGAGCCAGACTTTTCCTAGGTAATTTTATCGCAAAACTGTTTTTCTGGTATCTATGAATGTGGTCATTACTCATTAGTTACGACTATTTTTTATGACAATCTTCTACCGGAGTTTGCCTTTGAAAGCTGGGACAATTAGAAAAAGCGTGTTGTGTTGACGCCGCGACCACTAATATTTTCCCTGTTGTTTTCATTAGCCCATAGAACGATGCAGCTGAGAAGGTTTTTACCAATTGAAAGTTTAATATTTTATAAGAATTTTTTCTTTATATGCGTATCTTGCAGCCATGCATGATTAATTAAACTTCATGAAAAATTGACATGTACACTCATGTCCGCATTCGTGGGGTTTGAAGCGAATATATTTACCAAACAACATGCTAATTAATATTCATTTGTTAAAAAACAACTGTATATAGGTCAATGCGCATTACATCTCTTGCGAACTACTATTTATTTAAAAGTAAAAATAACATGATCTCTTTCAACGAAATAGTAAGTATATTTATGAGCTTTCGTTAGATCATGGTCTAACTTCTTCAAACAATACAAGATATAACTTAATCAAATAGCGAATAAGTAGCCTTATTCGCTCGTTATTCGGTCATTATTCGCTATTTGATTAATTTATATCTTGTATTGTTTGAAGAAGTTAGACAATGATCTAACGAAAGCTCACAAATATACTTACTATTTCGTTGAAAGAGATCATGTTATTTTTACTTATCACTTTAATACTATCTCGTTCAAGCATCCTTGTGGTGAGCACCACATGCAGTTCAATACACAATATCCAAGTTCCCTTACTATTTATTTAGTGATTTTTACTATGAGAGCAGAATACATTCTAGAAAAACATATTCCTTGTGATTTGTTAGTTTCGAGGTTTAAATGATATTAAATAATAATTAACGAGTTTTTAGTGCGTAACTGGAATTGTGACATTGAAATTAGAATATCGTAAAATTATCCGATTAGTGCATTATTTTCCGATAAGAAATGCATGTTACAAATTACGTTAATTACAAATAAATGCCTGTACTATGCAAAATGTCCTTGCAAAGGTGTTAATTTTGTAGATAAATAGAACTGCCAGAAAAAAAGCGAATTCGTGACTTATATATTTGCTCAAACAAATAACATTTGATTTTATTGTAGACAAAAAATCTAGAATACTCCCGAAAGCAGCTATAATTTTAGATTCATCTCCGAACTGAAAAAATCTATTGGTGGTCATGTTGGCCCTGGTACATATTAATAGATCAAAACGTTTGATACGTCTTTATAATAGGCATCGCTATCACAATTGCACCTGTTGTTCTGTAACTACTTCAGAGAGTATGTCAACTATGATTGGCTCGTATTTGACTTCGGGGCTGCAAGCGCTTTCTAGTTCATGAACCAGCAGCTCTTATTTGTTTAACATCAATATACTACCTAAGTAAAAAATGGTTTATTTTAAAGTTTTCATTGTACAAACGTTACTGTTTTGATTTACTTCAGAATACACCACCACTAACCACCTGAACTGAACCAAATCGTGCGTCTATAGGTATTTACCAGCGCATAACGCACCACCCCGACTTGTTTGGTTTATGATACTCTTAGCATTTTAATGTCGCCAATAACTTTTATCACTGAGTTTGGGTTTCGCTTCCATTGAGGCGTGATTTGATACATAAATTTTGGAATCAGATAATAATCTCTGGCATCTTTTTCCGTGTTGTCTTCGAATGACATTAGTTCCCAGTGATAGCCGTTCTGATGAAAGCGGTGATGAAAGTGCTCTTCTTCTCATTCTGACTTTCTGTTTTGCTGCGACGATTTCAGTTTAGAAAAATAAGACGACACATTTTCTTTATTTGTCTGCATTCTTTGTGTTTTATCCGAGCTCAATTTTGAAAAATGTATTCTACTCTTGTATGAACGAATATTTTCTTTTTCTGCAGCTGACAGCTCCATCTTTTGCTTTCGATTTTCCGTAAATACATCATCTTTATTGCGATGTTCAAAATCCGTTCTTTTGATTTTTGATTTTATTCTTAACCACCACTTTAAGGTTGAATTTTTCATCGAGCACAAACAATTCTTTCAGGCTCTGCAATTAGAAATATGTATATTATTGAACATCAGTAACTCAAATTTTTAAATAATAACTTTTTACCTTCTTCCTCGTTTTCCTCTTTGGTAGGTAAAATAGTTAATTCTCAAATCGAGGTAGAAAGTATTTCACTTCGACAGATGGTAGAGGCATCACGCTTAATTTCATTATGTCAAAAACCATTTTGTTTGAATTGTCATGAATATGTATTGCAAATGATAATTTGCTAATTTTAGATAGCGCCGCATCATTGATAAGCATATAGGCAAAGTAGATATATAAATCAGCATTTGTGAATCAGACATAGTGCAGAAGTAAAACAGGTCGGCGAACACCGCTATATTTGTAGAGATCGAGGTTGGGTAATTATTGCAATTTATTACCAAGGAATAATCAATATCTAAACGAGAATATCGGTCGGAGACCGAAGACTTATCGATCGAAACTGCGGACTCTATAGTGACATCGCGTGTCCTATCACTAATTAAATAATAACTCGATAATCACACGACATAATTCATCCAAAATTAATAGGCTTCTGATATGATGAATGCGCATGAAAAATTTGGAGCAGATTCAACCTCGCCTTAGTGAGATATCGCGTTCATCTAACAGACAAACAGACAAATACCTATCAACATACTTACCGATCTTAGGATCGATAAGTAATGATGTTCAGTGAACTCTGATATGAAATATAGCCTGATATCTTTCTGCTGCTGGTCTTCAGGCTCGTTGAACGATAGTGTAGAATGAGGTATATTTGAACTTGATGAGTTGATTGGATTTTTAATTTTTGTCAGCAATATAATATCTCATAAATGGGCTTTACTTGCAAAAACATGATTTGGTTTTAATAGATTTAATAATATGAATGCCTCTGAGTATATAAATAAAGAAAATACGGAGTACAAGCACAAGCCAGTATCCTGTAAACTTCAGCACGGCATTATATTACACGAAATTGATAGTGAATCCGCCTTGTTTGAGTATCAATTTGTGCATATTTTTCTAGGTGATATTCAGCCATTACGTTAGTGCTCTTAAGTCAGCGCAGGTGAAATCAAAACAGGTCGTCACAAAAACGGAAAATCTTTTCCTTTTATTGAGAATATGGTCATCTACAGAATATCACAGCCTTCTCTTGTTCGGTATAAAACGGCTTGGATTGCAACACATATTTACAAAACATATTAAAAGGAAGCACTGATCAGGAAAACATTACACTTATAAAAGTTTTCAACCTAAAAGGAATATATTACACATGCGACAATAGAAGACTATATATGTTTTTCGTGCTGCCCAATACGTTGGCGCTTTAGTTTAACTTTAGACTATATTTTAGTTATTGTCGCAATTCGGTGCAATTTCGATTAGGTATTATATCACCTCATCGTGATGGAAAAAAGGAAAAACCATTGAGTTTGAAAACACAGAACAGGTTTTCCCGCGTTGAAACGATGAATGGACTTTTTCTCCAAACGTAAATCGTGAAACCTTAAAACGCACCTCTTCGTCACCTAGAGATGATTTCGTACAGCGTTTCCAGCACTTATTCAAAAAAGTGAGCAATTTGTTGTATATTCTATGTTGCTGATTCGAGAAACATAGAATGATTTTTACAAATATTCTGTCTCCCATTGGCGCTGAAATATTGTAACTTAGAAAATGAAAAAATATATGCTGTTCACAAAATGATACCAGACTTTGAATAAAGGGCAAATACTTTGATGGCAACTTTTCAATTTAAGTACCCAATTGATGCTAACTTAATGTTAATGATTTTAGTTTTTTTTTTTTATTTATAAACGGAAAGGTCAGTTGAATATTAAATAAAGACATGAGTCTTCTTGTAAATCTAAATTTTTAAAATTTGATAATTTTAGCAGGATTCGCAAGACGATGAAAAGCTTTTGATGGATACGTCCTCAGATAAAAAAAATTTCAAAGCTGCATACATTATATCTGCTGTTTTTGTTAAGAATACGACGATTTGTGACCGTTCATTTTTTCCTACCTGAATGTATATTATCTATAAAATCACATCATCCAGTCATCGTGTCAAGCTACATTTGGGTTGTGGCAAACAAATATTTTTGCATGCGCAATCTCTTCTGTGCATTACCACACTTCGACAGACGTAGAACCATGTTTGTTGAGTAGACCCACTATCAGCCCGGTCAAATAAAGTTTAAAATTTGAACATCGGTATTATGAAACAAGATGGTATTGCTCGAAAGTACGGTATATGTACACGAAATAGACGGTATTAACATAATCGCAAGCATACCGTTTTCGTCGGGTACAGATTGTGGACAATCGATCTTAGTGGCACTATATTTCTCAAAATCAGCAAAAGCCTGGTTTATCATTGAATTATGGAAAGATAGATTTTATTACGTAAGAAAATTATAAAATACATCTTAATTCTGCAGTTCAACATTATCGATGTCAAGCAAATACAAGACTTAAATATGATTAAAGAATATAATTGAAGTGCTTTGGCAGAATTAAATGAATAGTAAAGCAATAAATATCAATTATTATAATTTCACGTTTTTAAGACATTACATGCCATCGTTGAAATGATTCACATGTTTATACCCCGTAATAAATCATTTTTGTGTACATAATTAAATAAAAAATGATGCAAAAATTGTCCATGCTGCAAATATACAGGATGTAAATAAAATGCATAGCGCTTATACGTTATTATATATTCTATATCGTTCTTTGTTTCTGACAATTTTTGTTTAAATATTTAGAAGTGCTTCGGTATTGGATATGGCACAACACACATGGATATTGCCTAAGCACACTTTTGTATAGTGTTTTGTTGAAAGCGACGATGCGAACCATGTCAAAAAATAGTGCTTTTTAAACTGAAGAAAGAATAAATAATAAAGGTAGTTTTATCCCAATAAACAAAATACTATACTTAGACAGTAATTATCCATAGTGCTATAGGAAATAAAGTAAATGCAACATCATGCTAAAAAGATATATTTGTATTTGTACAAGGAATCACGCTGGATGTGATTTTATTCCTGGACACGGCAACAGCATAGGCATTCAAAGAATCTCCGTAAACGGCTCTTCTTTTTCTCTTCGAAGCCATCAACTGATTCAGTCACAGTTCGTGTAGCAGGGGCGGTTATCTAAAAACGATACACAGAGAAAATTAGTATTTCATGTAATTTTAGTTATCTATACATTCTATAGTGTTCTTGAATTATTACTAACTTTATTTCGAAAAAGATTGGATACATTGAATCATGGCGTATACGGGAATTAAAACATAGGACAACAGATTCATAGAGTGTATGAATAAAAATTACTAAAAGCGAAGTCAGATTTTTACTCAAAATTATGAAAATTAACTCAAAACTAGTCTCAAGTACAACTGCATATATATGCAATAACAATAACTAGAATTTTTGATCATTCAACGACATGACAGAAAATGTTTTTGGCAATGAATTTCGTTACAGCACAATCAAACGTGGTTGTAAACAACTTCAATATGAAAGGCCTCAAAACCGGTATCGGTATCCGGAGTTTTGAGCAAGAGCGATGCTCCGGTTCAACGTCGATATACCAATGTATCGATGTGTGGAGACTATTCAAATAGAGATTGGGACTGAATATCCATCTCTATAAATAAACTAATATGTCAAAATATAGAGGATACATGGACAGCAAAACTATTAATATTCAGAAGTAAAACATGAAAAAAAATCTGTAGATTACTTGACCGTTTGTAAATATTTTATATAAAAAACAATATTAACCTAAAGAAAAATAAACAACGATTCATACAAAGTAAGGCATTCAGACAATGCCGATAACGTTTAGTTATAACATAGAACCAACTTTTTATAAAGATTAAATCAGGTAATTCTAGCGTGTATTTATGTATGAATATGGGACTTTCTCCCTGTGTAAATAATATATTATTCATTTACATTAACATTTGACATAAGTAATAATTCTTCTGTTATAACGGTAACGAAGCCATGTAAAAATTTGAAGTCATTGTACCCGAATTAACTGTTAATTCTTGCATTTCATTATTAATAAAATTTTCCGCCCATACGTTTTTATTTGGTTTGAATTATTTCATTTCTCAAGTCGGTCTTCAATTGCTTGTAAAATTTATGATATCATGAAATCTCATTCGAGCAATTGATTGTTTTGTGTTGCTCTGCTTCATTTTGAAAAACAAGAAAGCAATGCTCAAATATATGGACACAAAGCCCAAACGAAGTAGCACAGTATGCAACCTGTCATTGTAGACTACCAGTACCGCAGCCCTCACGCGAACGCGAAATCGCCACAAGGTAAGCAAATTTGATAGCGCTTTCATACACAAAATCGTATCTCATAGAGCCCACATGTGGTATTTAAAATTTGGAAAAAAATTAAAAGTAATAGCCCTCTAGCAGGAAATACAATCTTCAACCACTGAAAATTTCTAAGTAACTGCTCTATTAGTGAATGAGAACAGCAATTTTTGCATAGCAATAACAAGAAAAATACCAACAAGGCCTAATAAAAATATATACGACCCAAATGTACATTTCGTGTCCAATAATAACATAATGATACCATACGTGACGTACCCCTGTTACGCTCTTCCCGCTTTCTAAGATATTAAGGTGGCATTCAAATTACTATTGACAGTAGATATAGTTACCGAGCTTACATACCTCGCGTGCTTTTGGTGCTGGAGTAATCACTGGGCCTGATGTTACTGGTTTTGGAGGAATCTTTGATAATTGAGATCGCAAAGATGAAGATCTTGACGATATCTTCCGAGTGGTATATGTATCCGGGACTGCCATGTCTGAATGTGTGTTTGTCCTTGCATTCAAATTGGAAGACTGTGCTGTTGGAGCATTAGTAGAAGTTTTAACTTCTGGGTAAGGAATGTAATCATGATTTGTGTATCCAGTGTTATGACTTTGTAAATATTCTGTATTACCAAACGTAGTCGGACTCTGGTTGTTATTAACAACATAATTCGACGTGCTCGGCGGAAGATTTCGGTTTCCTCTGTCATCGAGCTCCTGCAACCAGGGTTTTCTGTAATGTCGTTTTGTTCCACCTTGCCTAACATAAAGTGTTACCCCGTCATTCTCTGTAGTGAATCTATCCTCTCGTAGTCTCCAGCTTTCTACCCTCTGTACCGGTATTTTGTCTATGATTCCTTCAAACTCACATACACGAAAAATATATAGTCTTCGATTGTCAAAACTATATAATTTTCCATTTTTACTCACCACATTGATATGTGGAAAATCTTCGGGGCTCAACACCCCCTTTTGAATATTATATATGGCATTATTCAGAAACCCGCCATCTTGAAATCTTCCAGCAATGGAATCCTGAGTGAACCTTATTTCTGATGGTCTCAAGTACTGTAGTACCATTATAAATTACTTCATTTATGTGATCGAATATCTGTAACGAATAAATGTTACTACACCACGCATAACTTAAATCCAGGAGATTTTAACCTAAGTGCTGATTATTATCCTTATGTTTTTGTTAGAATTACCAAATATTACTATTCACTGATATTCAGTACTATATATAAATATATACATAGTCGTTTGGTATATGTACGAGATGAGTTGTAGGTTTTCATGCTTGAACCGATTTGTAACCAGATACCTCACAACCAGCTTTTCTTATAATTAATTAACTATCAATATTAAGATATTTCAGGTATATAATTCGGCGAATCCAGACGGTACTCACCGCCAATAATATTATTTTATAATTAAATTGCCCGATGTTTTTAACTAGATATTTGAACCTGGATATCCAGACTTAGTTCCTGCGGCTTCCCTTCAACAGTAAAATTGTACGATTATCTCTTTTTTCAATATTGTATGTGATTGTTTTTTATTGGTTGGATAAACTAAACTTGACTTTACTTGACTGGGTCTACTTCGTAAACCTAACAACCCAATAAATTCAACTACATTCAAATACTGTTTTATGGCCGAACCTGAAAGCTTGTTACAATTACAACACTGGTTGAAAAAGCCTGACAGATTTAATTCAGTTATTAAACTTGTTATGACATAGTGACGCTCAAACATAACAGCAGTGCAAACAGTGGCATGCAATTCACTCGTTTGCCTGTCTGTACGTTTTTGATTTCCCTTTGATATTCTGAAACTGTTCTTTTGGGAACGTAATTATATAATGATTTAAGTGATGCTTTCATGATCTTGATAATTCAATTGTATTTGCCAAACATTTAGGTGCGACTTTCAAATTGTTTAAAACTCCAACAGCAATAGCTAGCTGCTAGAAACTATTATTTCACCATACCATCGACCATCAGGTATCCCGCCTCCAACTAATGTAAACGAGTAATCATCGGTCGATTACCCGGGCCAAAGTCAAGAATCGAGAGTTTGGTATCTGTTTACCCAAGTAACACAATACTCGTGTTACATTTTGTTTAAATTGTATCTTTTGTAATTGGGTCGACAAACTATCGTATAAACACGTCTGAGTTATTGATTCGAATATTGTTGTATATCGGATCATAATATGTATATGGAAATCTTTTGTTAGGCGACAATGAATTGAGAAGTGGTTACACATTAAGTAACGGGGCTATCAGAACCCAGAGGCCATCAAAATAGGGTAGTTATAAAATGGCTATGTCCCTACTAAAATGGCTATGTCCCTTCTAAAATTGCAATCCCGATATGTCCCTACTAAAATGCCTGTGTCCGCTATATCCCTACTAAAATGGCTATGTCCCATCTAAAATAGCAATGTCCGCTATGTTCCTACTAAAATGGCGATGTCCGCTATGTCCCTACTAAAATGGCTATGTCCCTTCTAAAATAGCGATGGCCGCTATATCCCTACTAAATTGGCTATGCCCGCTATATCCCTACTAAAATGGCTATGTCCGCCATGTCTCTACTTAAATGGCTATGTCCCTACTAAAATGGTTATGTCCGCTTTGTCACTACTAAAATGACTATGTCCTATTTAAAATCGCTATCCCGATATGTTCCTACTGATATGACGATGTCCCTACTAAAATTTCAATGTCTCTACTAAAATGGATATGTCCGCTATGTCACTACTAAAATGGCTATGCCCCTACTAATATAGCAATGTCCGCTATGTCCCTACTAAAATGGATATGTCCGCTATGTCTCTACTAAAATGGCTATGTCCGCTATGTTCCTACTAAAATGGTTATATCCGCTATGTCACTACTAAAATGGCTATGTCCCTTTCAAAATCGCGATCCCGATATGTCCTTACTAATATGACTATGTCCCTACTAATATGGCGATGTCCGCTATGTTCCTATCAAAATGGCTATAGCCATTTTAGTAGGGACATAGCGGACATCGCCATTTTAGTAGGGACACAACTATTTTAGTAGGGACACATCGGACATTGGCGTTTTAGTATGGACATAGCCATTTTAGTAGGGACATAGCGGACTCATGGGACATAGCTATTTTATAACTACCCATCAATGCGCGTTTACATTAATAACCAAGCATAACGCGAAATTTTTCTGATCCACACTATACTGTATAACAATATCGTTACGGAGCTCCTAAAACAAAATTTGTGATACTTTTCTCGTTTTATGTTTAGTGTACATAATATCGTTTTAATATTCAACCTTTTTTCGTCGAAATGTTGGCTCAATAGATAAGGACTTATCAAATTTCAATCAAATCACACTGATTATTTGAATGAGGAGACATGCAACCAAGCCTGACATGTCTTGGGCAATTTTATCGCAAAATTACATTCATTCATTACGAATACCTAGAAGAGTTATCGCGTCGTCGCGTTCACTAATCGTTCCCTGTCATTTTCATTGGTTTCAATATTCAATAAAATGATTCACTTGAGAAAGATTTCACGAATTAGAAGTTTAACTTTTTGAACATTATATAAACAGTATATTCGTTGTATAAAAAGACGACATGTACACTCAGATCCACATTTGTGAGATTTGAAGCAAATATAATCAGCAAACAACATTTTTATATCAATATTCATTTGCTGACGATCTGAGGTCAACACGTAGTACTTCTCTTGCAAACTAATATGCATTTTGGCGACTGGCGTTGATTTTTGCTACAATAGCAGAATATATTCTAGAACAGGGATCACCAACCCGTTGCCCGCAGGCACCAAGTCGCCCGTAAAGACCACATGAGTCGCTCGCAGGTCTGTTCCAAAATAAGCTCAATAACGGCGCTTATGAGTAAGCTACTTCACTAGGTTAATTATTGTATTATTAAATTAAATTTTTTGACATGAACTTCACCGAGAACAAACACATAGCAAGCCTCACTGATAGAAATCTGCAAGACTCGCCCATAGTCACAGTGTCAAATTACACCCCTGAGTACAACGCACTGGTGGATAGTCTTACACAAAATTTGGTTGATTTTGGTGTGCTCCTAGTTGAAAAAAAATATATATATTCATAATTTGTTTAAAATGAGTTTGTTAATGTAACATTTGATAGTACAACTGTTAAGTTCATTTCATCTTAGGCATATGTAGGGCGTTTGTAAAAAATACAGGTACATTGTGGTTTCCTAGGATATTATAGTGGTCACTGTTAAATCAATTTGAAAATATAGGTGTCATTGATAGTAATGTATTTACTACGTTGTGATAATCGTTTGATTTCCTGAAGAATCCTAAAGTTTATCAGTGTCTCTATTTGACTAAATACCAGTAATTGTCAATAATTGAAGCTTAATCGAGCAATTGCCTTTTTTAGCGGTGTGCATTGAACTATTAGCCCTTGGCTTCGGAAAGGTTGGTGACCCCTGTTGCAGAACAACATATCTCCCATGATATATTAGATTTAAGGTTGATGTAATATTAAAAAAAAGAATCAACATGTTTTTATTGCGTAAATGAAATTGTGACATTGTAATTTGATTATTGTACCATATTAGCAATATTATTTGACTTCGTCAATAAGAAATGCATGTTACAGATTACCTTAATTACGGAAAAATGCCTGTACTATGCAAAAATTCCCTGCACACGTGTTAATTTTGTGGATAGAAAAAGCGAATTCGTGACTTATATATTTGCTCAAAACACATTTAATTTCATTGTAGACAAAAAATCTCCTATACTCCCGAAAGCAGCTTTATGTTACCTTCATCTCCGAACTGAAAAAATATATTAATGGTCATGTTAGCCCTGATGCATTTGTCCGTATAATAGACATTGCTATCACAAATGCACCTGTTGTTCTGTAACTATTTCAAAAGAGTATGTCAACTATGATTGGCACGTATTTGACTTCGGGGCTGCAAACGCTTTCTAATACATGAACCAGCTCGTATTTGTTTATCATCAATATACTACCTATGCAAGATAGCATTTATTCTGAAGGTTTTATTCAACCAACATTAATGACTCAACTCAACTTTTGATACACCACCACTAACCACTTGAACTGCTCAAAATAGTTTACCATTTGGTATTTACTAGCGCATAATGCACCACCCCAGCCATGTTTGGTTTATCTAGGCTTACCATACGTCCCGCTTTAGGCGGGACAGTCCCGTTTTTTAGCGCCGTGTCCCGCCGTCCCGACAAGTCATCCAAAAGTCCCGCTTTTGCGTTCAGCCAGCCAGCGTAATACACGAACATGTTCTCGTTACTGTTGTTGCTGGCGTAGCGCAACGCTAGCCTACTTACTGAAAGTGAATGCGGTATTTTGTTTGTTTCGTTGTTTCCCGCTAACATTGTTAGCGAACGTATAACATGTAAAATCAATGATAATTGGTCCTGTTCGGACTTCCACGTGAATGTAACATTGAACAACGTTTATTTAAAGATGTGATCTACAGAGAAGCATGCTTGGGCGAAAAGGTAAATTCTCAATGCTTGAAAACGGCAGACTATTTCATTATTCTTTATTCCTTTTGCTGTACGTAAAAAATCTAAATTCGGATCATTTGTATCGTTAGCCTCTATTTCTTTCTATTTTTCGAACTTAACCCGATATTTAGATGGGAATATGCGCATGAACTCTCGATGACAATATGGTCAATGAAGACAGCCGGGATGGCTTAAATGTAGGCCTATGTAGTAAAATCGGAAACTGTAAAGTTACAGGAGGCGTCCCGCTTCGAAGTGGAAAAAATATGGTAACCCTAGGTTTATCATACTCTTAGCATTTCAATAACCAATGACTTTTATCATTGAGTTTAGTTTTCTTACTTCTTGTTCATTGCACGTGGCCTTGATTTTGGCAAATTTTCATGACAACTTACAACATTTTTATTTTTAATGTACATTTTTACAATTGTAATAAGGAAAAACGGAACTAAGTGCGACTGGTGCAACTATAAATAATAATAAAATTAGTAAGAAAAATTCGTTTCCATTGAGGCGTGATTTGATACATAAATTTCGGAATCGGATAATAATCTCTGGCATCTTTTTCCGTGTTGTCTTCGTATGACATTAGTTCTCAGTGATAGCCGTTCTGAGGAAAGCGGTGATGAAAGTGCTCTTCTTCTCATTCTACGAACTGACGCATTGTTTTGCTGCGAGGATTTCAGTTTAGAAAAATAAGACGACACTTTTTCTTTATTGGTTTGCATTCTTTGTGTTTTATCCGAGCTTAATTCTGATAAATGTATGCTACTTTTGTATGGACGAATATTTTCTTTTTCTGCAGCTAACAGCTTCATCTGTTGCTCGCGATTTTTTATAAATACATCATCTTTATTACGATGTTCAGAATCCGGTCTTTGGTTATTGATTTTATTTTTTACCATCACTTTGGGGCTGAATTTTTCATCGAGCACTAACAGTTCTTTTAAGCTCTGCAATAAGATATAAACAAAGTATCATGAAAAATGCTCTGATGATATTAAAAGCGCTAAATTTTGGAACGGTTATAAAAATGCTTTATATGAAAGCGAGGCGATACAACATACACGCGATTGCAGATAGGTGTAATGTAAAATGACAAAGACAAAAAAACAGACGGAAATCATGAAGTTTAATTTATAGTTTCATAAGAAAATAAACAACGAACACAGTCACCATAGACCATACTCACTTGTTGTTAATTTAATTTTTAAATAACGTTTGAGACGTAATTGCATACTGACATTTATCTCTACCATCCTCTTACCATTGCCAATAGTTTATCTGTTGAGCAGTTGCTTTCTCTCTGGTTTTCGTTGACACGGGACATCGTAAGGCAGGGGTCCTTTTTTTAACGGTTTTCAACAAGCGAATGATAACTCGTTCTGAATTAAATGAATGACTACGAAGTTGAACACCGTGTTTTATAGACCAGTTTTGAAAGATCTGATGCAAATCTGATACAGAAAAAAAACGATACATATCTGAGTAAGTTTTGATTATTATCACAAACATAGTAGCAATTTCTTTGTTCGGAAAAAATTGAAAAAGATAATTCTTTTGTTTTCTGTGCGTACGATAACTCTGGTTTATTTTATTTAAATGTTTTCTTTATATTTGCTTATCTGGAGTGATAAGTCTTATCGCCGTAGCCTTTCGTAAAGTCAACTTTTACTGCATTATCGCGATGAAAGATTACGGAGCATAGAATCAAGATATAATTGAACAAACATTCGGTTTACGAACTACGTAAATGCGTAAGAATTTTAGCTTTAATTGAATGTTATCCAGATATTCAAACTTTATTTAACCAGATTGCGCTATAATAACGCAGTTATCAATTTAAATGTTCTAGTCCCATAAAAATTGGCAAAGCCTTCATGTTTGACAAGTAATTTTCATTTCTCTGTTCAAGCAATGAAAAAAATAAAAAACGTTTTTTCGATTAACTTAACTGAATCATTCTGCGCATGAAACAACTAGACATTACTGGTTTGGAATTTGCCGTTTAACTCGAAATATATATATATATTACAGATTTTATATTTTATTTTTATAGAATTTGTGATAAATAACACTGTAGTCGTTATGTAGCGTATAATCACAATTTATTCAAAATAAACAAGCTACTCAATATGGAAACATTCCGAATCTGATTAGGCCTACTTGATTAACCTTCCACCAGTGGAAATTAGCTTAGTTTCTGCCAAAAGAACCCAAATTAGGTAAAAACGCACAAAGCGGTGTACCACAAAATTAAGTTCTTTCTTTGCTTTCAATATAACATTGCCTGCATTTCATTTACATACCAGATACGGCCAAAAAGCGGATACTGGAGATACTTATCTCCACGAATACACACAAAATGATTAATTTATTTTTAAAAGTGTTGCCAAATAATGTAGAGAACAGATCTGCTAAACTCAACATGTTTTAAATTAGGCGACCTGCACAACATGCCGTCCGCTTGCGCCAGCGATCGCTTTTTATGCGGTCCGCGAGATGATTTTAATATATATATACTTATATATATTGTATCCACAAAATGAGGCAAAGACTACTCAGTTAAGAACACAACCGAAAATATCCCTTGCGGATGAAAATACAGCACCACATAGATCTAGTTTATTCAATATCAATATTGTCATTTCTTGTATGATTACGCTACGCTACTAAAAACTAAATTCATGCCTACAGTAGAAATATCATTGCACGTAATATATATACAAGGAGGTCATCCTAATTTGTATGGCACCAAATATGTAGTTGTATTGTGACGGGAGAAGGCAAACAAACCGACGGTTGACACAAAATACACGGTACGACGGCGATTATTTCGTCATCACTTTCTGGACCTTGACGTACATCGAAAAGTATAGACTTGTCAGGTATTAAGCCAGCAGAAAAAAATAATCTTTGAAGCCTCAACTTCTGATTCACCACCTTTGTACAGATTTCTTTTTCCGTGAAACGTATATGCAGTGCCCAGTTTTTGGTATGCGTTATGTCATGACAAAGAAATAAAAACAAGCACCCACCTACAAAAACGGGCATATCGAAATCTTCTTCGAAAAAATAGCGTATATTGTTCTTCAGAAACCAACACAGGTCTTGTTTTATCATGATTAATACATATTTTGTGCTTAATTTTAAAATTGTATTATTTTGGATAATTATTTGGGAATGAGTAAAATACCGTCAAGCAACTACCAGAGATATTCAACGATTGTAGAAAAACGATTCATTTACAATCTTATTTGTATTGAAATATAATATTTCCGAATATAAAAAACAATGAACTGTCGACAAAATTCATCATGCTTATTCCGAAAAGTGTAATGATTCCCTAAAGCGTAAATAAATCTTTTAGAAGTTTTTTGTTTTTTCAATCCCAATTTTTTCCACACTGTGAGGCCTTGTCAATGAAATGTTCCTATTAGCAAATAAAGAGTTTATCATTGAATCCAAGATTTCCATGTCTGTGCATTCGAAACAAATGACTGCTTAACTAATCTCATTCTATATCCAACATGAACCAATAACAGGTCGAGAGACCGTTGTACGCCACACGATTAAGCATTCTTATTGTCTTTCCCGGGTAAAATATGAATGTCCTATCCTTAGTATTGTCGGTGTAACTATGAGCCTTGCTCGGGTGTAATTCAAATGCAAAAGCAATCAAATAGTTCCGGCAACTTACTCTAATATATATGCAGAACATATGAGACTAGCAGAAGACCGAGATGATGTACACTAAGGTCGTGTTGTATGCCGAGACAGAAACCTTGGCGATTTTTAAGGACTTATCAAACAACTCATTGCCTATTAAACAAAGAAGAATTCTTGAGAAATTTCAGATGTTACTTATTTCAGAATCCACTTGAATGTGGCTCCACAAGTAAACTCATCCCTGCATTTATCTCCACTTAAGATGGGTTTCGGTTCAACACACAAGAGAAATATTTCAACAACTTTTTATATTATGATGCAGAATTCAAGAGCAATTAATAAATATGATAACCATTAACCACTAAAAATTGGGACCTAACAGACAACATTGCGGATAAATACAAATGGATTAACAATAACAACCAAAGACATAGTAACACATTCTCAAAACAGAATAATAAATAGTTATATCAATCGACGATGCAAATGAATAAAAAAAGCTGAATAAAGAAATGGGAGAAAAACCTATATGTCATAATAGATTTCTCAAAGTAAGATCCATAGCAGTTGGACATCAACAGTTTTAATGTTCAAAAAAGGGTCAGTTCGTCACAAAAAAAAATCTTCGCATTAATTCAAGTCTCTGTCGAGTCATTTACTCGACTAGAGTCCTAAATTTATTAAACACTCAAAGTGACTCGAGTCTTCAAATGGAGCGACTTAGACTCGTCATCAATTAACCACCAGTGACAACTTGAATGATGACCTATGACTCAAATGGGGGTCTATGGGCTTCTACACAACACCAACTGCTTTAAATATGACCATTTTTTACCTACAAACTATTTTGCAACAGTATGTGGTGTTTGTAAATTTTCAGAAATAGCCTGAAAATCTCATGTGTAAGCTTATGTGGCAATATATTAATAAATCTTTTTCTCATGGATAACTGAAACTAAATATTTTCGAACATATTGAAATAAAATTACCTTTCATTTTCATGTTGATGGAAATTTTTAACTACTTTGTTATTTCTTTAATTAAGTTATGAGATGCATATTGAAAATGGTTGCGATCGAACTTTTACGCCACAAAAGTAAAATAAAGTTGCAAGGTTAGATGTTATAACATACAGTTTGAGAAAATATCAATATTTCAACCATCTGTACAGGATCGTTTTTTAGTAAAATTTGAGATTTCCTAAAATAAAGGCTTGAAACGTGGCATGCAATTACGATTTCATTCAAAATTCGACAGCACAAAAAAGAAATTAAGTTAAAAACACTCGGAATATATCACAAGGCAAAAAAGTAAAAGTCAAAACAAACTATGGTACTAAATAGTTGATAATAATAATCAACTACTATTGGGAAATTTTGACATAAATGAGCTGATAGAGTGGTTAGTTAATCGTGGGAACGAAATCTATAAATTGATCATTTCAAAAAGTAAAATAGAACAATTAAATCAAGCTAACGCAATTTGATTGAAACTGGTACACAACTCACCAGATAACATGTGAGAAATAAAAAGTATATCCTCAGAAATTTTTTTCAGTTGAGAACAGAACACAAAGTAGACCAATCCCATACATTGATCAATGTCGAAATGTGTGGGAAAACTTTACATAAAAAATTATATGCAGCTCAGCCACAAAATACCCAATAAATTTCTATGAACAAGATTCTAACAACAATATTAAATTCAATCTTTTGTGTGAATAAAGTAAACAACTTTCAATGAAAACAAATATACCCTTCACGCAGTTTTACACAAAAGTCTGTACTAAGCCAACAATTAAGATATACTGCAGTTTCTAACTTTATTTTTTAAGTAGTGTCGCATTTGAAGAGATATTTCTTTATTTTTAAAATAATAATAAAGAAACTGGTAGCACTTGATTCAAAAAATGACCCTATTTGAGCAAACTGCATTAGATAAACATGAGAAACAACTGCCATACAACAAATCTTTTACCCCCTGGATTACTGAACCATTATATATCAGTTTACCCCAAAACTTTTCATGGAAATATATAATACAGTACAGAATCATCTAAATTCGTACATCAAAACATAGCTCGTAATCTCTTAATTCATATAAAATTCTTTCATTGGACATTTATCTGTCTCAAAATGACCAGTATACAGTCAGCTAAATGACAAAATTTGGTGATTTCATGGGTTGTGTACGAATTGACTTTAAAGTGAGTTTTCTTCATTTCTGAACAAGCGTATGTGGACGTACTATGAGCAAAAATTATTCAATGTGTGCGTAAATTTGGACAGCTTTGGTTTAAAGGATTAGTAACTGAAATCGCGGCTTACAACAACTCATTTTATTCTTTCTCACAGTAACAGGTACACCATTGAGAATCACCATTCAATTTTTTTTACAAAGGCCACACGAGATATGAAAAATACTGTTGGACGGAAAAAGACGATATTGTCAAAAACCAGAGTATACATTTAATAAGGTGACCGTACATTTGAACCCATGTACATTTGAACCCATGTGTATATCCACGGGTTCAATCTATATGCGGGTGCTAAAACCCATGGGTTAGGGTTAGTGTGGGTTCAACTATCCGAAAAACAAAAAAAATTCCATAGGTGCAATAGCATACAGGTGCAATTGCCATGGGTTCAAATGTACGTAGGTTCAAATGTAATGGAACCATTTAATAAGCATGACTTACTAAAAGTCCTCATTGACATGTGTCATAATAAAATTCTCAACATCAAATTGAGAAAACAATTCAGTTTTTTGCATGAGGTAAAGAAGAAAAATAGATTTGTTGTAGATAAGTTAAAGAGATCTATCCAATGACTATATGCGGCTCTAAAAATGCATGGCATTAACATTGTTCAAAATGATTTTTCACAACAGCATTGCACAACTTTTTCAAATCCCTACCACCTACAATACTTTGTCCGGCAGAATACATCCCTTCAAAATTCACGATAATGACATGTCTGTCTATTTCCAGTTCCAAAAGTAAAAGAGATTTCAATGTACCATCATGTAAGTGCAATTGAGAAACATGAGCCTCAGTGGGAGCTTGTGTCAGTTAGTCATCAGGCTAATCTCTTTGATGTAAAAGTAAAAGACTTGATTCTATGATGAGCCGTAAAGCTCTTCTAAACGATCACAACTTGGAGTTGCCATACTGTCTGCTTTTTTAATGTAGTCCGCATTTGAAAAATATATTCCTTTTCTTCTCAAATTTTCCTCTGTAAAAAAAAAAAAGATATCACTGAATGATAAAAAAAATTAAATATAAAAAAAATTACACAAACACACACACTTTTAAAAAAATTATCTTTCTGATTTATACAAATTTAATTGCAATTTCGAAAATGGTAACTTGTGCTATTGATTGCGTTGGATAGACTACTTCTCCCTATTCTATGCTTTTGTGTCGGTGGATTCGTTTACAACTTATACACAAGAATGCTGTAGCAAGAGTGAAGATAACTATCATAAGTGATTTAAAAATGGTAATATTGAATATGCCTGTACTAATACTAGATGTAAATGTCCCCGATATATTCTGAATCAATGTTACCATTTCATGATTCAGAGAAAATGCAAAAATTGCTCTTTCTTTGAATAATTTGGGTTTTAAAGTGCACAATTTCTTAAGTTAAGAATTATCAATTGCTCAGAGCAGGGATGCTCATAATGCATCAAATATTTGAATCGAATCAAATTTATGGTACTTAAATCTTAATATAATAAATTTTGCGGTTTAGGAATAATTTAGAATATTTTCATCTGGAAATTTGTATTTGAAAGAATTTGAAACCCAAAGGACAATTTGGTAATTTGTCATTATAAGAATTTGACACATAATGGTCAGACTAAAATTGAATATTTGAATTGACACTGGAAAGTATATCTAAAAAATTGGGTATCCAACTATAATTATTTAAATAACTAGGTACATAAATATAGATGCAGAGACCGGATATGTATTTTGCATCACTGAATTCACTTTTCAGAATTGTTATGTATTCAATTTTGCCAATCTGACTCTGAGGTTCCAACTGGTTTCTAATTTAATCAGTGCTATAAACTGAATGTAGCCATTGATTATATGTCAGTCTGATCTCAAATTTTCAAGAAAGATTATCTAAAACTCTTCAGAAATCACTGTGTGGAGACTCTCGACTGGAAATAATAATTAATCTCAATTGAATGCTAACGTCAATCTCATAAAAATGACTATAGAATAAATAAAGTGAAGTTACTGCAATTCAGAGATTCAGCAGCTGCTCGGTACAGAGCGATAGGGGTTATAACTTGTCATCACTACATCATTTCGACAACATAAAAAAAAAATATCAATTCGGTTTCTGCAGGATTAACTGCTTATCCTTCTTGTATGATTTTGCAACAGTGGATCCATATGAATATATTGCAACCTATAAGGATGGTGCATAGTGAGAAGTGTAGGTAACCAATCCGAGTGTTTCAAGAGTGTTGCTTCAAGCCAACACAAATATATTTCTGTATTGTTTCATTCGACCAAGGTCAGACTTTCTCAGATATATATAATTGAACCGCACGTCTGAAGAAGGCTGACCTTGGTCAGATGAAACATTACAGAAATATATTTGTGTTGGTGCAAAGCAATACTCTTGAATCAATCAAAAATAAGAGGATCTAATAGGATTAAGTTTATCAATAGCTTGAATGTTAAACTGTGCTGTAATTATCACCAGCAATTTGAAGATATAAATGTGTCATTGACCTTAATCTTATGATAAGATAAAGTGATACATATTTATCAGGGCTGGTTATAATTTACGATATGAATGAAAAAATCTAGGATATAATTGCTAACTGCTTTCCAGCTAATTTATCTTCAATCTGGGATTCAAAAAATAATATTCGAACTGGATGCTTAAATATATCAAATTTTCATGGTATCATATATTTCAATTGAAGGTTTCAAATTTTTGTATCAAAGATCGCTGAATTTAATTGGGAGATGGGGTATCAATATATGAAAAAATATTATTTTTTATACACCGCTTTTTTTTCTTCGCTTCAAAAATATCTGTATGATACTAAGTTGCCAAGCATAATCATTGGATACAAAATGTCACACTTAGCTTTTGGTTTATACTGAAATAATTTTCTTTTTTCTTTTAAGAATATTGGCTGTGGGATTGCACATTGGTAAACTCTGAATGACGCGAGGCAATGATAATAGCTGACTTTATTCTGAGATATTAAACATTGAGATAATGAGATTTTGAATATTTAATATATAATATATTTGCCATGTTCAACGGGTAATTTCAAACAAATCATTGTAAATCCATGAAAATCTGAATTTATTAACAACTTTCAACGTACAATATTTGATTTTAATGTTTTAAGTCTATAATTGCCTGGCAATCAGATGTCAAAACACTGAGCTGACAAATTCTGATATATATTCCGAATCATTCGAATATAAAATAGCCTATTGATCACAACCAATTTTGTAAGCATTTGAATATTCAATTCGTTTTTGACATTCAGGCCATCAATGCTATTTCACTCTCATATATTTTGTAAGAATGAAAGCAAACTTAAAATTACTTACTTTTAACTCTTTCTTGATAACAGTTTCCTCTCAAATAATCAACATATTCTTGTTCTATATTTCGTTCTAATCGCCGTAAATCGGCACCTTTATATTCTTGATTAAAATTATGTTTGACGTAATAATTAACTTTGAGATTAGTTGTAGTTTTTGTATATGCATAGTCACTGTAATACAAAAAAAACATGAAGAGTAATTCAGATACAAGATATGAAAAGTCTGCAATTAGTACAAGATCAGATTCAATATATTTATTAAGACTTCAAATTGTATCAATCATTGCATGAAAAAGAATAAATTAAATATTTGAGAAAAGCCAGTCTATCACAAGGGTTCAAGAATACACCTTTCAAGATTGCGTAATAAAGTGTGACCAACTATATGGAAAAATATGTTAGCAACAGTTCAAAATATTTTTAAAATAGGTTTATTTGTTTGATGGAAATCAAAAAATTTGACTCCAAATAAAATTATAAAATGAGAAAAATGATTCACCAAACATTCTATTCAAAATATCTTACCCATGTGGATATAAACTGTAAGGGTTTTCCCTAATAAGAACATTGCTGAATAAAGTAAGAAGTAGTAGAACGAGTACAGGCATGAACTGTAACCAAGCAGCGACATTCTAGAAAAATAATAGATTTATGAAGACATGTAAGATAGAATCGTGGTTTACATGTTGGTCTAATCCCCTCTGATAATATGTTTGGATGTCAAATTGCAGCCATAATCATCACCATGATGAGTCATATAGCCTCGTCCTTAACCCATGGTTCCATTTTTAACTCGACTGTGTGGGGCATTGTGCTAAGCGTTAGGATTACACTCGCCACCACACCTCTGCTTACCCTGCGTCGGTTCGAATCCCATGCAGGAAAAGCTATGTGCGAGAGGATTGCTGGACTCCTCATCGTCCTGGGTGATTTAGGTAACCACTGGTCGGTTACGGCTTCCTCCACCAACAAGTCCATGCGTTTCATAGACGTCGTTCATAATAGACTGGTAATTGGACGAGAGGCTGTGGCGTGCCATATGATTAATAAGCTATCTTATCGCCTTTCCTCTCTCCTGGAATAAATATCCAAATCCCATCCTATGTGTGAATACTTATATAAGAGACCCATTTTCTGGAAAAGTTGGGAACCAAGTCATGAAAGAGCTATATTGGAGGATTATGCAGCAAAGGCCTATTAATTGACAAGATGGCTCCGATATGGTCCACATTTACAGTTTAACTTAAATTAAAATTTACAAATAGAAGAACTAGCCAATTCCAGATAATGTATCATTTGCTGTATCATATCTTATATTATGAAGCACAAATAAAAAGCATGTTTTCTTTAGATTAAATATCATTTTGATGTGAATTTCACATATGAAAAGATGAAGACTTACGTTCCCTTGCATTTGTTCGTCATGATCTCGTTGTCCCCTATTACCATATGAATAAAATGTATTTCCTCTTCGAAAAACCCTAACATTTCCTAAATGTTAAAAAAAACTTATAAATACACCAGAAAAGTAGATATACAGAAACAAAATGTCTGCTGACTATTAACTGAATGCCAAAAATATAGAGACTACTATTCAGAGATCAAAAGCAAAAACAAAAAATGATAATTCTGAGATTGCCTAAAATAGATTTGACCAATTGAGAATTTCTTAAAGTGATATGCAATAATGCAGGTATATGTTTTAACACTGTAAAATTCACGACAGTGGGGTCAGAGTGTAGAGTTCAGAAGTCAAAGTCAAAGTAAACATTTTAAATGCTTCAGCTTTCAATTAGTGGCATTGAATACAAAAGATGGAAATCAAGTTGACAAAGCATTCTCTGCAGACAATTGAAAAAGGCTTTTATATGGTCAAGCTGGTATTCTTAGAGTTTGAAAATGAACTTGAGATTTAAAAGTTTTCTTCAACTTTGAGTCAGAGTCAAACATTTTGTCAATCAAGAATGACAGCAGGAGCAATGCTCTGCTAAAAACTGACAAACGAGAGTTTTCCTTTGAAGTTGAAAAACTAAAGAATTTATTTACTGCATGAAGATTATTTATACTATGGTAAATAAGACAGAGGCAAAATATAAATTTAATATACTATTGGGTAAAGGTTTACACAGTCCATTAAAGCAATCCAAAGCTATTTATTATAATGAATATTTACTTGATTTCTTTTAAATTCATCCATAGATTGAACATACCTGAAGGAAATCCACCTCCAAAAAACATGTTAAATATTTCATCAGGATCAACATCATCATAATGATGTCTTCTGTGAGAATATCTCTGGCGAGTTCTTGGAGTATTCTCTTCTTCAGGTCCATATAAGTCATATTCTCGTCTCTTTTCTGAATCGCTCAGGACTCCGAATGCCCTTCCAACAGCTAGTATCATAATAGGTATCAATACAGTTACGGGGAGTATTACCAATGTTTTATGTTATGTATAATTAATGAAATTGAATTAAAATTTCAAGTTGGATATTATCTTAATATTATATTTCAGCTGCAATGACGCTAGGCTTCAATTACCATTTCACATTACACTATAAAAAAGATAATCAATAATATAACGCTAGAATGTTTAGTAGTTTTACAATATAATAGTAAAGAAAATTAATGCTATAAATAACTTGAAAACAAAAACCTTTAAAAGCATCAGTAGCTCCAGGAGCTTTATTCTTATCTGGATGCAACTGAAGTGCAAGTTTTCTGTAAGCCTTTTTTAAATCTGAACTTGAAGCTTCTTTCTCAACACCGAGGATAGAGTAGTAATCCTTACTCTTCTTCACTCTTGAAAATAAAGATATCACAATAATAGCCATGCTCACTGAGCTAAGCTTCACTGACAGTTAGTTCAGTTCATTAGGACCACAAAAAACGATAATCGAAGGTCGCGATATTGGAAATGTACATCCCTTCTTCAAGCACTGCATTAAATTAATCTAAAATATCGGCCTTATATATGTAGAAAATATTTTTACGAGAAAAATTTTCGTAAATTGGATTGTTTTTTGTCTTCAAAGCTTTTCGTAGGTAGAGTTTCTAGGTGCGGCCCAAGGCTTCACCCAATAACTTGTATCTGGCCCTCCTGTGATAAAGGTTGCACACCCCTGCTTCGGACAAATCAACCCACCTTGCGGCTTTGATAAACATGACCTGAATCGAGTTCAAACTTGAGCTTCCCCAATACTGATATCAAAACCAGATCCTTCCACAAAACTTACAACGAAATAGTAGTTAAATCAATCATATAAAAAAAGTCTTTCGAGTCAAAAGTACCATAATATGTCCCTCAAATTGTGTTCAGCATTGTTTTTTCATTTATTTATATTTTATACTAATAATTCAATTTTACCTTTTGACTGCATCATATTGCTCAGGTGTGTAATCGTTTTCTAAATTCGCATTTTCACTTTCAGTGTTTTCTTTTGTTGGTTTAGTATTTTTCTGTTCTTGATTAAAGGTTCCATATCCATGAGCCGATCCATTGGTCTTAGGATGACCGTTTGTTGTCCTTTGCTCTGTGAGTTTCTTTAATATTTCTGTACAAACCAGAATTTTGATTAAAGAAAATTGCAATCAGGGACCAGGGATAACACTATGTAAAAAACTCCCAGAGATTGTTCTTAGGTTGAAATGCTTTCAATGGCATTGTATATCAGTACAGCACAGTTCTCCGACTCCGAGAATATCTCCCACTTTAAAAGACATCATTTACAACAGTGCGTGCAAACCCCTCTTTTCGAGACAGCCTGGGCCACCATATCGACAAATTATAAGCAATTCGGCACTGTGCAGTAAAATTAAAAGGAAGCGCAATCTAAAACCGTCATCATCGAATTCCTTAAAAAAATAAATCCGACCAAACAAAAAATATTTTATTGTAGCATTGAAGAGCTTTTAGCAAAAAAACACAATTTTGATCATGTAACGACCACGATTAATTTAGCATAAAATCGAGACAAGCATGGCATGATTTAACGCATCTGCCATCGTGCCAGACAAAAAGGATGAGTGTTTGGTTTATTGAACCAAATGTCAAGAAATCTTGGAATCGGAAAATTGTGCCACTGTGTAGACATGCAAAAGGAACCTACCATTTGCTTCCTTTGTTGGAAATAACTGAATGGATTTCTTTAGAAACTTAATGGCCTTTCCTTCATTTCCATTGCGCAGAGCATTGGTAGCAATTCTGATGCATTTCAAAGCATCATCTTTATTTCCATCCATGGGTAAATCCCACTTTACAGTCGTTACAGTATAATACAATTAACAATGTCAAATATACACTACAATATTAAAAATTAATAAAAAGTATATTTATGTTGATTTTTCCAGCAAGAATCCACACATCTTAAGATAATATTGTTGATGACAAATTATAATCAAACTAGGGATGTTACAAAACAAAAGCTTTTTCACGCTAAAAAATGTACGCATCACGTCTGCCAGGTACCGGTACCATTTCGCCGTGTGGGAATATCGCTGATAAAAAAGACTACAGATTGCCGGGTCTAGTATAGTTTAGTACCACAAGTACTTCTGGTGGGCGTAGCATAACGAATTTTGCATATGCTATTCCTAACCCCCACCTGACTATGCCATCCAAAAATTACGTCACTACGACATCACCATCACGTCATAGGGATTGCCAAAGTAGGGTGGTGTGGCCAGTCTGCGGATGATTTCATTCAAACCGCTATGAAACAAAAACCAATATTTCTAACCCGTTAACTTTTTCACCGTAGGTGCATTGGCATTAATTCTACATGCTGAACTTTGAATTAACTTTCTACGACCAGGGGTTAAAGCTATACAAACCACCAAAGTACGACACTCTGAAGACGTATTTGCGACTGAACGACCAGTGTGCGATCACAGATTTCAAGCCTTAAACATCGATTCTGCTGCGTCAAGACTAGGGCATACGCAGCCATGCGTGAAAAAATGGGCTTCTAATTGTATTTCTGACCGTCATATATTTTAAGAACACGGTTATTTCGAACAAAATTCTTCAAATTATAAACAAAGCACTGCATCACAGCAATCAAACAGACAAAAACACGGTGGTCACAAATTAGTTGACAAAGATATTATTGAGGTATTGGAAATGCGCACCTCCTACTCCCCCTCCTTTGAATGTAGAAACGCGAAACTTTAAAAATGGTTAAAAGAAACACAACTCTGCCCACCTGCCAAGTTTCATCTCTTTATCTCTTATATTTGTATGAATTTTCAAGCTTTTTTAAAGGAACAATGGGTAGTTGGCGACATGGTAAAATGGTCCGTTTTTTTTTCTTCGGTCAGGTTTTCGGTCGTAACTTTTTTATTTGTGGCCGCATTTTAGTGTAATTTCGCAGAGCTACGAGGGATAAGTGGACGATAACACGTGAGAAACATCGTCGCGGTTCGTTAATTTTTTCGGCATTCATTTAATCGATGAAGTTGATGGTCGCAGATAGGTCATGGCCGCAAAGTGGGTAAGCCACCCTATAATTACGATCGCCCGATATGACATCTGCGCCGCCGATAACAAACTTGCTAAAGCCGGCGATCTCTCTCCTATAGTGATCGTTGTGACGAGGAAACGAGAGAAATTGCTTGCTCGATTTCGGGTGATCGTCTGCGCGTTTTGGACGACCATCCGCATACTTCGGTGGGCCTTATTACGCCACTGTGACGTCGAAATGACGTAATTTTTCGGTGACGTAGTCAGGTGGGGGTTAGGATTGACATATGCAAAAATTGTTGAGCCAGGTCAACTAGAAGTACATGTGGTACTGAACTATACCAGACCCAGATTGCCTACAGTAGCTCGGAATTTCATGAAATTCTGACATAACATAGATAAAATATACCACGATGTCTTGATATTTGAACTATTTCATCAGCGCATGAATTTCCCAACAACTGGAGATTCTAAAAATTACGCTAAACTTATAGCATAGGTACGGTACGTTGCAAATTAATGATATTGCAGTATTGTCTATGGTCCTATGGACACTTATAAAATTCATTTAACTTTATACTTAACAAATTTTATGAAGTTTGTTTAATCAGAACATCGTTAATTAATACCTACTGGCAAACGATTGCTGATTATGGAGTCGAAATAAACTTATACTTATACAGTACTGCGTACCCGGTACCGTGCCGGTACCGCGTAGGGTACGGTACCGGTACCAACAATAGGACTACTTTTTTCCGTTTTTGTTGACACGGAAGACAAAATAAAGTTCCCAGGCGTAGTCATTATCGGTACTGCGTCGATGTCTCCGGGTCCATTACTAGACTAGCTTATTCCAACCACTAAACTACAGCTACAACACCACCAGTACCGCTGACCGTGAGCATCAAAGTAGTCACTTTGATCAGCATCATAGCAGGCGATCATTGATCAGCACAAAAATCCACCTGATGACGCAATTTAGAATTATATCATCAAATTTTAGGTAACGCATGCGGAGCCCCAGAGAAAGTAGCCGACAACGACTAACATACCGGTGGCGGACTGCCGAGCAAAAAACTCAATTTTAGCTTAAAATCATAGTCCTTTCATACAATAGCTGAGCAAAGAAATCATCGTTGAAAAAATCAACGAGACACAAACAAAAGTGTCTCGTTGTACCTAAAAGTGATACCGCACTGCTGGCATTACCAGTTGGAGAGCCACTCAGAAAATTTTGACTCATGCTTTCATCGCAGAGGATTAGCATTATCCTCTGTGCTTTCATCACGGATATATTACTTAAGTTGATAAAGAAAATATCTTTCTCTTTTTGGGAATTTTAAATCAATAACAACACTGCTTTATTTGCGCCAATTATCTAAATTATTAACAGAAGTATATGATTGTGAAAAAGTGAAATGAGGGAAAAATAATTTTAGGTCAGTGGTACTCAAACTTTTTTTCTTGCGGCGCATTGAGCAAAAAAGTTTTGCAGCAGATTTGTAAAAACATAAAGTTCGCTTTAAACTAATTTATTCTGCAAATGTTAATGCGATCGGTGTGCCTGTTTTGAGGAACAAATAGGATTGAATCGAGGTTTTGTAGTTACCAAGCACACGCGCATTCCGTCATCAATTCCAACAAGTCGTTCCCTTTTTGTTTAAATCCGTGTTCACGGGGCCATAAAGATGCGAATGGCAAGATTATTTTGAAATTTATTGCAAGTTATTTCAATAAACCTATAGAATAAGAAAGTTATTTGCGAATATCATTGGCATCGTTGGACATCCCAACGTAAGCGCTCGTCTATTAGTTGTCCTAAAAATTTGTAGGACGGAACTGATTCTAATTTGTGTCGCGGTTTATGTCAAATTACAATTTTTTATATTCCTCCGCATGCGTATTGTGTAGACCAGGGTGGTCTAAACCCAGGCCCGCGGGACACATGTGGCCCGCCGCGTCATTATCTGTGGCCTGCATTTGCGCGAAGGTAAACAAAAAATCGCATTTGGAGTTGTTTCGTCATAAAAACAACCAAAAACTTTTTATATGTCACTGAATTGAGAAGTGTAAAAACTTTTTATATGTCACTGAATAGACCTTATTCTCTGTAGCGGTTGTTTGATCGAAGAAATTGAAAGCGAAACTGCCTCAAGTAAATTTTTAATCTTTTAATTAAAAATTTACACCCATGAATTGAAAGTTTGAAAAGTTGAAAGAGAATGAAAAGTTTAATGCTTTCATATTTTTAAATTTTAAGCAATTAAATGTGGTGTTGTTTAGAGAGAAATTCTGAGCTCAAAAATATGAAGGGGCCTCTCATGATCTAAATCCAGCCCTGAACATCACCAATTTTGAGATAGGTAGGGGAAGGTGGGGCACGTTGGGACATGGGGCACAGTGGAAAATCAGCTTTTACACTGATACTATATCCGCAATCCTGTCCGCGGTTCGATGTTTCAATCCGCCCTTCGGTGAGTTACAACGTCCCCCCGAACGGACAGCGTACGGGTAGAGCGACGCAAGCTATGAGGCGAAATTGGTTTTGGGAGGTTGAAACTAAAATTTCACCGTTTCAGTTTTTTCTTTTTTCTACTTTAGCTTTTCCAACATGACAAAACACCGTCTGATATTTTTCAGCTTTAGTCCACTGTAAAATATTCATAACGTTGGCGAGTGAATGTGCCTTTCAAAGTTTGCCGTGGGATGGTCTGAAAATATTTGTTTCCTATGGGGAACAATGGACCGGGGTTTTGTGGTACATGCCCTACTACAGGGCAAAATTCGACAGTGTTTGATACAATAAGTGCTTAGAGACCTAGAGATGCGTTATATTTTGTGTAGTATAATGGTTTCTTTTGACCCATGGCCCAATATGGAATCTATTCGAGAATCAATAATATTTCCAGATTTAGATTCGAGGAAGGAAATAATCAAATTTGTTTGCGAAATTTTTTGTCAAAATATCTGAACTATTTCAATTGAACATTGATTTTAAAAATATTAAATCTTTAAATTTGAAGTCTCCCTGTTCTTTAGACGATTATGCTGAATAATTTCTTATTTTTAAGGGCATACTTCGTTGAATTTTGACAGGCTGACCCATTGTGCCCCAGGGTCTGTCCGCATGTGCCCCACAAGTGGGGTACAGTGGAACACTTGACAGACGTTTTTCAAAGCATTTTGGTAGTAAGATGTGTGTTGCAAGGAAATTTCTTAGTCGCTGAATAAAAACTACATTTACCCCTCTATGCATTAGTCCCGCAAAGTTAAGTGAATATGCAGAATTAACGACTCAAAATATGCAAAAGAAAAAAAGTGTCCCAACCTTCCCCACTTTCCCCTACATGGTGTCAACATATGAACTGAGTTAGGCCATTGGATTTTGAAAGGTGTACCAGAAATGTACATAGTTACATGGAATTCATTAAATATATAACATCCAATTAAAACCAAAATAGGTCTTTCGTTGAACGCCAGTTGTGGTCCCGATACCGGTATACCAGTATTCTGTTATCACAAGCAGTTGGAGCGCATATCCCACAGAGCACGGCGCGTTGGCAGAATCTTATGGTCTAGTGAGAATGACGTCTTCGGAAACATCGCGCTCATTGGAATTTTAATGAACGATTATCAAAAATCTTGACCATGTTTATCATGATAAAAATATCTAGAAAATCACAAAAAATGCAAATTTCTGCTCTGGTGATCACATTCCCCATGAGAGCTAATGTTAAAAAAAAAATTTATATCACTTTCCTTTTTGCGCGTAGGATGGGTTTTTAATGAATAAGGTCAATTGTAGTTGTATGACTAGCTGAAGCAACTAGCGAAATTGATTTATGTGCTTGGGTAGT